ATGATTTTTAACGCGCACAGGTGTAGGGTCCTGTCCGCCTCTGTAGCCCGGTGGGGCCAGCGGCTGCCCCGTTAGCGAGCCTGTGTCGTGATGGCTCTTGCCAAGTCATGTTGCTCTTTGGACGTGACTCCTTTTTTCTCTCTGGTGCAAACAACTTATGGTCCCCCAAACCCTCCGGGTCAAGAAGTGGTAGGTCAGCCTTATGGGTTCGGGCTGCCAGCCTCACCGTTTCCTGTGACAGCGTGGTTTCCGGCCCGAGGCTGTCACTTGAAGTGGCTTTGGGTGGCAGGGCCCCTGGGGAGGCCACAGACATTCACCTCTGTAGGTCCACCCAGTGCCACGCCTCAGTGCCGGCTGAGTGCATCAGGGCCTGGAGGCCTGTGGGTCTGACTTGTGCAGGGCGGGGGCGGGGCCACCAGGAGCCCCTAAAACACTGAGAAATGGTGAAGGGAGGAGGAGATTCACTGAAGGCACCCCCAGAGTCCCCTTTGGCCTCCGTCACCCGCTGTTGCAGAGGTTGGTGCACATTTTCTGTAAAAGGCCCCGTGGACCGGCGGGAGGCCCTGCAGGCCCAGGGCTCCCTGCGGCAGGCACGCGGCACGCGGTCCCCGCCGCGTCGGCGGCTGCAGCCGGCCCACGGCCCTTCGTGGAGATGCCAACCCGGGTCGGCAGAGGTCGAGGCCGGTGCGGGACCAGGATGTCCCCGCGGTCTCAGAACACCTACCGCAGACCCCGATGGGTCACAAAGGCAGACAAAGGTGCCTTTACCCCCGAGACGCGGGGGAGACGCCGGCCCGAGCTCGGGACCAGCTGCTTGCGGGGCGGATCGCGGGGGGAGAAGACGGGACCTGCCTCCTCCTCAAAGCGGCGACCAAAGGCTGTGAAGGGTCTGAGGTGCCCCCAGCCCCCGCCCCCCCGACCTGCCGCGATCGCCTGGGTGTCGGCAGGGGCTCGAGACTCCGGGGTCAGGGACCGAAGGGCGTCCCTCCAGCCCTGGCAGCAGCAGCAGCCAGAGGGCCAGCGTTTTCTTGCGCCGTTTTCCTGAGCCCCGACTCCCACAGGACCCCCACAAAGGCCCCGCATAGGAAGCCGGAGATTGGGGACCCAGGTCTTGGGTCGCGGGCAGCGAGCCCGCGCGACGGCTTCCCCGGGGGGCAGCGCCTTCTCCGCGCTGGACCGTAGCGCGCCCGGCTGCCGCTGCCGCTGCCTGTGGAAGCTGTCCTCTGGGGACACGTCCCCGGACGCCACCGCCCGAGGGAAGGCGGCCCCCGCTGGTGCCCCCCAGAGGGCTGCCCCCCCACAGCGGCCCCTCCGAGCAACGTGGGCGCGGGCCCTGGATTGCAAAACAGAGAGGCTTCCATGGACCCGACGGGGCCCCCGGGGGCATCTCGCTGTGACTCGGGGGTGACGTCGTATCGTTGTGCCAGCGTTCGATTCCCCCATAACCCTGCTTCTCGGTCGCCCTCGGGGCAGGGGGGGGGCCCTGGTGTGGTGGGAGTCGCCTTGGTTCCCGGACGGAGCTCAGGGTCAGCGCGCCTGCCACTCACTTTACAGCGGTTCAGCGAAGCAGGCCCCGAAGCCGCGTTGCACGCCCACACTCGCACATGCACACACGCACACACACACACACGTGTGTGCAGAGCCGGGGCGGGTGGGCTGAGAAGGGGCGGGCACGTCCCCGCGCTGACCGTGGCCGCGTGGAGGCGAACGGGGCTGGCTTTTCCCTGGGTCGCTCCTTCGACTTTACCGACCAGAAACTGGGGCCCGTGACCGGCCGCCTCCGGCCCCCAGGCTGCGTCTCCACAGCCCCCCGGGAGGGGCAGGGAGCTCCGGCCCGGCCCGGCCTTCCCCCAGTGCTCCGCGGACATAAATAAGGCTTGTGTTTGCTCAAGTGTGTGTGTGTGTGTGGGGCGGGGGGGGCTGGCAGAAAAGGCCTTTTCAGCCGAAAGCTCCTTAAACCCCGAAGGTGGGAACCAGCAAGTAACAGCCACAAACACCCTTCGGCTGGGGACTCCTCGCTTGTGGCCCAGGAGTGACACAGAGTCACCCCGTTCTGGGGCGAGGGCAGGGGAGGCGGCAGGCACGCTGGGCCGGGCCGGGCCGGGCCGGGGAGTCTGCTGCTTCCAGCAGAGCAGTGACCGCTTTGCCCGGGGCCCCGGGACTCCCGAGCTATCCCAGACTCGCACACGCAGAGGCCAGCACCAGTGCACCCTGTATCCATGCCCCCCTTCCCTCTCTTAGGGGGCAGGGCGTCGAGAGCTGGTCCCGGGAGCGGCCGCCCAGGCCTGGCCCGAGGGCCGTGAGGCCGGAGAGCGGCGCCCGAGCCCCAGACAGACAGCTGCCCGGCGAGGACCGGCCGCGGGCTCAGGGGACGCGGCTAAAAATGAAGAGGTGAGTCATTGTGGAAGCACAGGGGCAGCAGAGGCCGCGCCGGGGACAGGGAGAGGGCAGGCAGAGGGCGCGCCGCCGGGCCCTGCAGGGGACGCGCGGGCGGCTGTCCGGCCGGGTCTCTGACTCCGAGCCCGAGTCACGGGGCCGGCCCCGTGCGCCTGCGTGCAGGTCGAGGGGGCCTCGTCGCGAGCTGGCGGTAAAACCGCAGCTGTCTCCGCCTCTCCTCCCTCTGCCTCTGCGAACCCCGCCTGACCCTGTGGTGGCGGCTTGGGAATGCCGAGTGACGTGTGGTTGCCGCTGTCCCCCGGGGTCCCCCCTCCCCGGACAGTGTGCGTGACCTCCGCGCAGAGAAGTGGAGCCCCCCACCCCCTTCTCCTCTTCTTACAGAATGCAGAGACCCAGACACACAGATATGTATGTGTGTGTACGTATGGGGGGGGGTGTATTTTAAAACCTGCGGATGAGCTCGGTCGCCGTGACAACAGAGACCATGAGTCCCAGTGAGGAAGAACAGGGTCCCACAAAGCCCAGGCGCCCTGGCCCCTCCGGGCCGGACCGGGGCTGGGCTCGAACCCAGCACGCCCGGAAGCGCCCTGGAGTTACATTACATTTCATCCCCGTTGATTCCGTCTCCACTTAACCCCTGTGTGATTGTCCCCAGGCCTGGACGGGGCGCTCAGGCACAGAGAGGGCTTGCAAGTGGCCGGGCCATGCAGCGGGGAGGGTCAGGGCTGGCCCCCGGGGCCCTGGCAGAAGGAGCAGCCTGAGGACGCCGCCCCCTCTCCTCGCCTCGCCGGACACCTCCCTGGGGGGCTGGGCAGTGCTGGCAGCTGCCTCGCACTGCCGAGGCCCCGAGCCTCTGAGCCGGCCGGAGGGCTGCCCGCTGCCCCCCAACCGCCCACCGCCCACTGGCCACCGGCTGCAGCTCACTTATGGAAATCTCGGCCTTTCCTTCCTCGTGGACATTCGCAGACCATCTGGCCCCGTGAGAAACAGAAAGAAGTTTTTACACTGGGGGCTCTCGGTCCAAGGCCTGTGGCTTCTGATCTGCATAAGTCAGAGGTCATGGCCCCTGGGGTCACCAGTGTGGGCTGCCGACTGGGCGTTTGACCTTCGTGGTGCCGCCAGCTGTGGGCTTGTCTCCAACGTGACTCCACTCGAGAGAAGCGGGCTGCGGGCACCCGGCACCGTCCGGAACAGCTCCCGCGGGCTCGGGGGGCGGGAGGGCCAGCCGGTCAGTGCGGCGGCACTCGCTGGCTAGATCAGGGAGGGTGAGGTGAGCGAGCCTAAGGGGGTATCCGAGACGGGAAAATCACGACAGACACCGTTTGACGGCGACATTTTAAAGGTCGAAATCAATGCGAAAACTGTTCAAGATGGAGGAAGCGTCAAGATTCCAAGTCCGGGTGGGCGGGCCTCCCCCTGACTTCCCGCCCCCCCGGGTGGGCGCTGCCCCCGAGGGCACCAAGTGGTCAGTCCCCGAGGTCCGAACAAGCCCTGCCTGTCGGTCGGGGGTCTCGCCTCCAGGAGCACCGAGCGGCGGTCATGGTGGGCGCCGGCTCGCCCCCGCCCCCCTGGGGCCAGTGGCATTCGGGGAGCGGGGGACTCTTCCTGCGTTTGCGTTCTGGAAGAGCCGGCCCCCCACTTTTCGCCCTTGAGACAACAGCAGCTCCCCCGACTTCGGGACCAGAGGCCCGAGGGCCCAGCAAGGCCTGCGTGGCTGGAGCGCGGAGGCAGATGGGCCGTTCCATTTTCTCTGCAGAATGTCCCGGACACTCAGGCCCCAGAGCCTTGGGCAGCAGAGTCTCACGCCAGTCCTGGTTGGCCTGGGGGTGGTTGCCGGCGTCCCCATCACGGGTCCCTCTGTCCCCGAGCCCTCTGGGGCCGGGTCCCAGGACACACCGCCCGTCCCAGCGGCAGCACCGGGGGCCTTGCTGTCCCCACTCCCTGCCTGGCTGTTTGGGTCTCACCTGGAAGTGTCACCTCCTTGGGGCTGCCTTCCTGGCACACCAAGTCATAACCTGTCCCTCCGATTACGATGGGGTTTAACTTCCCCATGAAACTCCCGGCCTTTGCGGGCTGGTGGGTTCGCCCCTGATCAGCCCGGGCTCCCCGGAGCCAGTGGCGCTGGCAGCACGGGGGTGGGGGTCTTGGAGCCGGCCTGGCCAGCGTGTGCGCCCCACGCCCAGCCCTTCCCTCTGCCCCAGCTCCCAGCCAGGCCCTGGGCACCCGCCTCCCCTTCCCTGCCCTTCACAAAGCGGCCTGCAGGCAGCCCGGACTCGGCGCCTCCCAGGTGGGGGCTGCCCCGCCCCCCGGGGGTGGGGTGGGCTGGGCTGGGCTGTCTGTACGGATGGGTGGGGGCTGGAAGTGCGGGGGCTCCTTGCCAGTCCTCTGAAGGAGGGGGAGTCAGTGCCCTTCCCCCGGGAGGGAGGAAAAGGGGGTACCCCGGTCAGTGAGCAAGAGCCTGCTTGGAAGGAACTGGGTGAACAGGGATACGCCAGAGGATTCCGGGACGCCTTTCCCAGCGCACCGCCCCCCAGTCCCCTCCCCCACCAAAGCCAGACGCGCTGCCCGGGCGGCGGTGGGCAGCCGACAGCGAACGTAAACAAAGCGCCGGGCCCCGGGGTGGAAGCCGGCCGCAGGGAGCTGGCGCGCGTTCCCGCCGCGGCTGCCCTCCGCCGCAGCGCCAGCTCTCCCGAAATAGACCTTTCTAAGGCGTCTTTTATTCGGGCTCCGGCGGGCCGGGGAGAGCCCGCAGCGGCCCCACGGACTCGGCCTGGCCCCTCCCCCTCCTCGGCATGACTCGGGGACCCCACGGGCCGCCCCTGCGTGCCGCCGCGGGGCGTTTTCTCCGGGCGGAGGCGCTCAGAAAACCCTCGTTCGCGGCCCGGCCGGCCGGGTGTGAGTCCCGGGGCGCGGGCCTGGGCGGGCGGCGGGGGCGGGGAGAGGAAGGGAGGGGGCGGCGCCTAGAAAAGGAGGCGCGGGCCGGGAAGGTGCGGAGAGGCCGGCGGCGGGCCCGGCGTGGCGGCGCGGAGCCCGGAGCCCGGTCGCGGCCCTTTCCGGGCGCCCGTGGGGAGCGAGGGCGGCGGGGACGCCGGGCCTCAGCGCCGCCTCTCGGCTCTGTCCGCAGGTCCCGGGCGCGCAGCCCTTGTCCCGGCCGCCGCCGCCAGCCCCGGGCCCGGAGCGCGGTGGCGGAGCCCCCCGAGGAGCCGGGGGCCGGCGCCCCGCGCCCCCCAGACATGGTGGGCCACTTGCATCTGCAGGGCATGGAGGAGAGCCTGCGGGAGCGGAGCCGGGAGGGCCTGCTGGACAGCCCCGACTCCGGGCTGCCCCCCAGCCCCAGCCCCAGCCCGCCCTTCTACTCTCTGGAGCCTGGCATCCTCGACGCCCGCGCGGGGGGCGCCGGCGCCCCCTCGGAGCCCCCCGGACCCGGCGAGGCCAGAGCGGTAAGCGCATTCCCGGGCGCGGAACGGAGAGCGAGGCGGCGGCGGGGAGGGTCTGCGCGCGGCGTGCCTAGAAGGGATAAGTAAAAAGCGAGAACCGAGTTCCTGAGCGCCCCCCTCCCCTGCCTGCCCCGCCACCTCCAGCCAAGGTGGCCCAGTGACGGGCACGCGCCCAGGTAGGGACCAGCGCGCGTGGGGGGGGGGGGCGGTGCAGCCCGACCTCGGGACCTGCAGACGGCTCCCCGGCGGTGGGCCTCTCCCGCCGCCGCCGGACTCCCCGGTCAGCAGGGAGCGGGCAGGGGGTGCAGGACTGGCCCGAATTCCCGAAGGTCCGGCCCCTCCCAGGCGGCCGGAGCCCTGGGACGCGCAGACTGGCGTCCGCACTCGGCCCCTCCGCCGCTCCTGACCCAGTTCCCCGTTTACGGGCCGCGCTGCCAACGTGCACGTCTCCTTTTTCTTTCTTTCTTTCTTTCTTCTTCTTTTTTTTTTTTTTCAAAAAGCAAACCCAGACGGAGCCCTTCCTCCCCCGGGTGGTGAGGGATGTTGACGTGGAGCTGAGGCGGTGCTGGGGGAGGTCTGGGACCCAGGTGGGGAGACTCGGCTCTGTCGGGGGGGCCTTCCGCGCGAGCCTGCGGCTTGGCGGCGGGACCGGGACCGCGTCCCCGCAGGCGGAGCCCCTGGAGGGGGCACCCGGTTCCTCCCCCCACCCCCACCCGGAGGAAATGACAAGCTGAGATTGGGAGATTTCCCGCCCCTGCCCTCGCTCTGCACCGCCCACTGCCAGTTTTGGGGAGCGGGACCCCGGGTGCCTTCTGGGGCCTCGGCCCGCGGCCCGGACCCTGGCAGGGCTGCCCGGGGTCCTCCCGGCTGAGGTCCGAGGGAACGGGTCCCTCCCCTCAGGGTGCTGACACGGACCTCGCTTCTGCCCCCGTAGCCCCGCAGCCCCATGGGCCTCGAACTTGCCTGGCCATTGGACCCTCTCGGGGACCTTTCAAAAACGCCAGGCCTGCCTCTCGGACCCTGCACCCCCCCCCCATGCCACCCAGACAGGCTGCAACCTGGGCGTCGGGAGTTTCAAAGCCTCCTTGGGTGTTTTTAACGTGCAGCTAAGTTGGGGAACCACTATGTCAGACAAGAATCGTGCTGTGCATTTCCATTTCGGTCTCTCTTTCGGGGGCTGGGGGCGGGAGGGGCGCTGAGGACTGGCAGGGCCCGCAGAGATGACCGGTGCCGTTGGGATTGGGTCCTGCAGGTCTCGGACTTGGCACCGTCGCGTGGTGGGGGGGACCTGGGAGCAAATCCCGGTGGCGCCCTACCCCACGGGACCCGGAGAAAAGGGACAGGGAGCCGGCCCTCCCCTCCATTGTGCGGGTGACCCAGAATCCTCCAGAGGCTCTGTCCGCCTGCCAGTGTGCCCGCCGGTGCGTCTCGGCCGGTCCAGCAGGCTGGTTTTCTGTCCCTGCCTCGTCCGCCGGCCGCCAGGGCTGCAGCCGCGTGGCCCCCGGCCCTGCTGTCGGGCTCGGCAGTGGCGGAACCAGGGCCACTTCCGCGCAGGTAGGGGGGGCCTCGTGCCCGGCGCCGGGAACTGTCCTGAAGGCTCGGGGTGCGGCCACTTGTCTTCACCATGCTCTGGTGAGGGGGTCCCTCCTGCCCCCACTTTCCGGAGGGGGACGCCGGGGCACAGAGGTCCGCCCGGGGCTGCCTGGCTGGCGAGGGGCCCTGCTGGGCCGGAGCCCCAAATCGGGCTGCAGTGTTGCACCCTCAGACCTCACGCCACCCCGCTTCTCACGGCAGGGCCCCCAGACTACCTGTGGGGGTTGTGTGTTCTTTTTTAATTAAAAACCAAAATGCCCGTGACACTCTGTGTTTCTGAGATGCCGCTCTTGATGAAAGGGAGGACACGGTGGCCACGGGCGGCCTCCTCTCAGCGGGGGCCTGCCTGCAGCTGCCCCCCCCTCGCACCCCAAGGACTCCTCCAGGGCGGGCAGGACACCCCGCCTCCCGTTAACCCACCGCCACCGCCGACCTGGTGTTTTTTTTTAAAGATTTTATTCATTTATTTTTAGAGAGGGAAGGGAGGGAGAAAGAGAGAGAGAGACATCAATGTGTGGTTGCTGGGGGCTGTGGCCTGCAACCCAGGCATGTGCCCTGGCTGGGAATCGAACCTGCGATGCTTTGGTTTGCAGTTCTCGCTCAATCCACTGAGCTACGCCAGCCAGGTGACCTGGTGTTGAACAGTGTCCTCTTGCCACCGGCTCACTGAGAACGCCGTCTGGGCTGCGGTGGCTGCAGACCTGGCCTGTCTCGGGGCGGGTGTGTGGGGGAGGGGGACGGAAGCTGGCCGGGTCTCAGAGGCTGCGGGCGGCCGCGCAGACCGTCCGGCCGGGTCTCAGCCTGCTGTGTGCGCCCGTGCGGCTGTCTCCGTTCCCACACCTACCACCCAGCCCGGCGGTCCTGGGCAAAGTGGGTGGCCGGGGGTTGAGCTAGAGGGCCTGTCCCCAAACTCTCGCCACTGGGGTCCTCATCGGCTCGTCACCGGGTTTGTTATGCTGGATGTGCGTGTGAGCGAAATTCCCTGACGCTTCCCTTCGTCCTGGAGGTCTCCCCCCTCCCCCCACTTTGTGTGAGTGGGCGGGATGTACCTTCCCCAGGGCACCGCGGCAAGGCAGAGCTCCCGGCTGCCGCCGGACCGCCCCGCCCTGGGCACGGGAGGCACCGGGACGCGCTGGGTCGGACCGGGCTGCCCAGCCCCACCCATCCTGGCCCCTGGGCTTTCCCGTTCACTCTTTGGAGCCCCGATAGTCATGCTCCTGGTGACCCCAAACCCGTGGAGGCTTGGGGAGCAGGCGTTCGCCCCACCCGCGTTTATGGAGCACCAGCTGTATGCCACGCACACAGAAGGGGCCCTACCACGCACGCCACGGCAGGGAACGAGGTGTTTCAGGCCCCCGCCTCCTGGCACGGTGCTCCGGTGGGACACAGGACCGGGGGGGCTGCTGAGCGGGGGAGGGCGGAGCCCCTGCAGACAGGGGTCACGGGAGTGACCTTCCACAGAAACTGAGGGGGGAAGACCGTGGAGTAGGCTTCGTGGCTGTAGGGCCGAGGTGCGTGCCCACCCGGGAGCGGCCGGCGCAAAGGTCCTGGGGCAGGGGCAGGGGCAGCAGGGAGGCCGGCAGAGCAGGGCCCTGTGGGCCCAGCCGGGCCAGCGAGTAAAATCCCACTGGGTCCCTTAGATGCGTACTTGTGGCTGTTTTGTTTTTATTCTTTAAAAGGCGTTATGCGGTCCCCCACCCCCCAATCTAGACACCTGGGTCAGAGACTGGATTGGGAACAGCTGCGTGGACTGGGACCCGTGTGGGGCTTGTCCCCGTGGGCAAGGCCCGGCCGGGAGGGGCGGGCCTGTCGGCTGCCCTCACCCCGCAGGTCCGTGGGCCAGGCAGGGCCGGGTGGGCAGGTCTGTGTGGGCAGCACTTGGGGGCATGAGGGGGCGTCGTGGGGAGAGGGGCCCTGTGCAGCCTGTCTCCCCGAGGACCAGGGCGGTCCGAGGAGCTAGCCCCGCCCCGTCTTCCTGCCCCGGGGAGACCACGCAGGGCATCTGGGATCCCCAGCCGAGCCCCCTGGGGGCAGATTCCGGGCACAGCCGCCACCGGGGTGGGTGCGGTGCAGACGGGTCTGGAGTCTCGGGCGGACGAGGGTCTCAGCCTGCTGAGGGGTGGTGGCAGGAGGCGCTGCGCTTGCTCTCCCCATGTTCGGTCCGTCGGATTTCTCGGGGGCACACTTGAGAGTGTCCCTTGGGACGAGGTGCTGGTCCCCGGGGCCCGGACTCTGACTGGCATCCTGAGGGCCGCGTCTGGCTGGTGCTGGTGGTGGGGAGGGGTGTGTCTCGGCTCCATCGCTGGGAACTTCCTGGGGCCGCCCAGCCCTTTGAGACCATCCCTAGTCACCGCCGCCTTTTGGGGCCTCGGCTGTACCCCCGAACCGCCCCCCACTGACCCCCAGACCCCAGAAAGTCTTGTTTCTCTGTTTCTGTCTGTGACCGTGTGAGGCCAGAGGTGGGGGGAGGGGTGCAGGGGGGAGGGAAGGGGGTTTGGATTTAGGCAGCTAGAGCCTGGGCCTGGGCAGGATGGATGGATGGATGGATGGATGGATGGATGGATGGGCAGACGGACAGACCAGCTGAGGAGACAGGCCTCCAGGTGCGCCCCCGGCCAGCGCAGGTGGAGAGCCAGGTGGCGGGCCAGGGTGGGAGGGGCCAGAGCAGCACGTGGGGAGGGAAGCCAGAAACCCTGGGGCCTCCCGTCAGCCCCGGGGGCCCGGTCCCGGCGCCCCGGCCTCCAGAGGGCCCTGCCTTGCGGTGGGCTCGGCCGTCTGAGGAACCCAGCTCTGCCACAGTGCGCAGGCCCAGGCCCTTCCCGGTGCCTGGGGGACGGAGGAGAGGGGCCCAGCAGCGGCCAGCTTCCTGGGAACAGGGCCCCGGGCGAGAGCTGGCAGCCACTCCCCTGGGACCACACGGCTGTCCTTCTGCCCTCCCTGCGCCCGCCGGCCTCCAGGCGGGGGCTGAGATACAGGCCCCCCGCACCCTCCTTAGATGGTGTCCGAACGGGGGAACGTGGGCCCCCCTTTGCTGCGGACCAGGACCTCCCGTGAGAGCAGGGGGTGGGCTTGCTGTCCTTGGGGCACAGAGAGCAGGTCCCTTTCGTGGAGGCCGCCCAGCCACGGTGAGGGGCATCTCGGATGTGTGCCCTGGGTTCCCGCGGCCGAGGTTGGCGTCCCTCCTTTGGCGGCAGGCAGAACCCTGCGGGTGCCTGTCCCAGGGCCACCGCAACGAAGCCGCAGACTGGGTGACTGAGCACAGCAGCAGCCCCCGCTCCCAGGGCCCTGGAGCCCGGAGTCAGGGGCGGGGGCCGTGCCCCCTCAAGGGCGGGAGGGGGCATCCGCCCCGTGTCTGCTCCAGCCTCTGGCGGTGGCCGGCCGGCCGGCCTTGCTGTCCCTGGGCTCGTAGGCGCACCACTCCGGTCTCCCCCTGCTGTCACCTGGCTGTACCCCCTCTGCGTGGGCCCCACGTCCGGAGTTCCCTCTTCTTCTCGGGAGGACGCCAGCCCCTGGATTTGGGCCCCCTCATCCAGCAGGACTTCATCGCCACTTGATATTTGCAAGGACCCCTTTCCAAACGGGGTCACGGCCACAGGTCACCCATCTTCGTGGGGGTCCCTCTGGCCACCCGGGGCAGGGAGCCGGCCTGCCCGCCCGCCCGCCCTTGAGCCCCGTGTTCAGTCTGCGGCTGTGCCTCTCAGTCTCACACTTTGGGCGTCGGGTCCCAGCCCGAGGGTCTGTGCTCGGCCCGCGGTGCGTCCTCCTCTGGGGTCTCCTGGGCGCCCCCCGCTGGGCCCCGTTCAGCTGCCCCTTTGTGCCACGGCGGGGGAGGGCAGGACCCCCCCACACACACCAGCCCCAGGTTTCACAAGGAGGCTGGGGATTCCTCAGAGCCCTCTCCATGGATCATTTTCTTCATGGGTGACGGTCAAGGTTAACCTCAGACCGGCCTGTGAACTTTTGGCCTCAAATCCCAAGTACCAGCTGAAGACAATGGGGTTTATTTTCCATCCCACCAGAATGTGTGACCAGCAGGTGAGGCCAGTCGAGGGGGGCAAAGGCTCCATATGGCTGTGGTGAGGGCGCCCCGCCCCCACGCCCCCATGGGGTCTCTCCGGTGGCCTGTCGGGGCCCTGGACCCCTCCTCCATCCACTCACCCTCCACTGACGGGGGCTCCTCACTTCCCGGCTGAAGGGGAAGTTCCAGGTTCCCTGGGCCACACTGTGGCAGCCGTGGGCTCCGCGTGGCACCCGGGCCGGGGCCCACACGCCGCTGTGCCGTTCCCGCGTGTCCCTGCCGGCCAGGCCAGGACCCCCGGCAGGGCCGCCGCCTCGGGCAGAGCGCTCTGCCCGCCCGCCCGCCCGCCCGCCCAGCGGTTACCTCCCCGCGTCCCGTGGGCCGAGTCCGGCACCGCAGCCAGGATGGGGGCAGGCCGGGCGCCCGGCTGTGCTTCCACTTCCAGCCGGCGAGTCCTCGCCCTCCGGGAAGGCGCGTGAATCACCCGGCCTGGCAGCCGCCGGTCCCCCGGATCCCACCCCCTCTCCCGCCCGCCCCCCGCCCGCCGCAGGCTCTCCAGGCCCCAGAAGCAGCTGGAGGCTGTGGGCCGTCCGGGAGACCCCCGGAGCCCAGCCTTTACGTTGCAGCTCCTCTGGGGCAGGGACCCCTCCTCCTCCCCTGCCCGAGCCCCAGGGACCCTGGCCAGCTGGCACCTCGGGCGTCCCCCCAGTCTCCCAGGCCCATGTGCGAGCCTCCCGGGGTCTTCCTCCCTCCAGGCAGCCCCTGAGCAGCAGGGCCCTGGGCGGGTCTCCCCGTGGGGGGCCCCTCTCCCACCCTGGAGGCTGCCATCGCAGCGTGGCCCAGTCTTTTAGGAGCGGCTCCGTCCAGGGTGGCTGGAAGGTCGTCCTCCGAGGGCTCACGGTGTGCCGGTGTGCCGTCTCGGCTGTGACAGGCGCTTTCGGCGCCCGCCCTCGGGCCTCACTGACCCTGCGCCTTCCCGGTAGCCCTGCCCCCATCACCCCAGCCCCGGTTGTGCCGGGTCCCCCTTCCCCTGGGCCCTGCCGGAGCTGTCGCGCCACCAGGCCCGCTGGACGCCAGCAGGCGTCTGGGTCTCGCTGCCTGTCCCGTCTCAGGGGGAGCCCCCAGCGCAGCGGGCTGGGGCTGTTTGTCCGCGGGGGCCCTCTGGCCGCCGCTGCCCAGAGCCCAGCTGCCCGTGCAGCAAGCCTGTCTCCTGCGCTGGCGGCCGGCCAGGAGCCGGCTCTGCCCGCGTGGGGCTGCTGTCCCGTCGGCCCCAAGCCCACTCAGGCCGTGTCGGGGGTCCGGCCGTGTCTCTAGCCGGGATGGACCCGGGAGGGCGGCCTCTGGGGCTTTGCCTCTCCGAGATGTCCTCCCTGCTCGTGAACTTGGGGACTATTCTTATTTTTCTTGGGGGCAGGGGGTGGTTAAAACCAGCCCAGGCTGCCTCTCCCCACTGCCCCCCCGCCAGCGAGCCCACCCGTCTGGACAGGAGAAGATGAAACCCTCAGTGTCCGCGCCCCCTCCCAGGGCAGCGTTTTCTGACTCCGCAGTGGCCACGTGTCACCCCTCCTTGACCAAGCAGAGCCCCGGAGGCTCCGTGCCCCGCCCCACCCACAGAGACCGCACACAGTAGGCGCTCAGCACACTGTAGGTGCTCAGCACACACTGGCACATGTTCGGGAAACACCCGTTTGGAGGGAGAAGGTTGGTTCTAGGAACACCGAGTCCTGGAGTTCCGTGGTTGGGGTTGGGGCTGACCTAGCAGGGGAGCCCCGGAAGGTGCCGGAAGCGTCGGGAGTGCGGTTCTCCCTGCAGAGGATCGGGGGTCTGTGGCTAGTGAGTGACGGCGTGGCTGCCACCCTGAAGGGTGCGCCAGGATGGGGGGGGCCGCGCCGGAGACCCTGACACTGGCCCGGAGGGGACACATGTCCCGGGCAGAACTTGTCCCGGCAGCACCCAGGGGCACTGGGAGTGGGGCTTGCACCTCGTGGGAGAGGCAGGCAGCGCTGACGCACACGCGCCCCTGGTGGCCACACCGGGCATCAACTGGGAGGGAGGGCCCCCGCCCCCCGCCCCCCGCCCCCCGCCCCCCGCCGCCACTTGTCTCGGGGTCAGGCCGGTTCTGACCATCGCAACCGGTGAAAGCCCCCGGGGATGTCACCACCGCACCCCGAGGAGGCTGCCAGGAGTGACCGCAGGTCTCGGAGGGAGAGGCCTGTCCCTGTCGGATTCCTGCTTCACATCCTCGTCTGTGCGCCGGCCCGCGGGCTCAGTGCCCCTGCGGGGCGGTACGGGGGCTGGGGGGTAACGGGGGCAGAGGAGATGAGGGCAGCCCCTTGTGCACGCTGGGGCTGGGCCACCCCTGGGGTCTCAGGACCCACAGGCCGGGCTGGACCAGGTGGGTGGCCCTCCCGTGCCCAGGGGAGCGGGCGCCACCAAGGGCCTGTAACCCCGTGTCCGCGGCTCTCCCTGCAGCCCCCGCCTCGCCCCCCAAACCCGCCGGCGCTGGAGATGCGGCCGCGGCTGCTGCCGGTGTTCTTCGGCGAGGGCATCGAGGTGAGCCCCGCGCCTGCGCACGAGATCCGGTGAGTGGGCGTGGGTGGGCGCGGCGGCCCGCCCCCCCCGGGGGCGCTGGGGGGTTAAGGGGCGGGGCTGAGGCTCCGCAGCACCACCTCCCCCCACAGCTGGTTGCAATAACACCTCACCAGCACCTCGGGGGGGCCCTTTCCCGCTGGGCGTCTCCAGCACCACAGGAACGCTCCGAGTTCCACGGGGCTGAAACCCGGCCCTTTGTCCACCCGCGAGGCCGGTGCCCACCCAGAGTCCATTCTGCCCACCGTCACAGATGCCCTTTGAGGCACATTTTTATCTCAGTTCAGGGTCCAGCCTCTCCAGTGTCCTCTAGGCTGGCATGGGCCTTCTGTCCTTTGACCTTTTGGCCTTGACCTTTCTGAAGAGCCCAGACATGTGTAACAGTCTTGCGGGGGTAGAGGCGGGGGCGGATGGCAGGCCCCATCCTGGGCTCACACCTGTCCTTCCCACCCTCCCCAGCTGCAACTCTGAGGTCAAGTACGCCTCGGAGAAGCACTTCCGGGACAACGTCTTCTACGCGCACGTGCCCACGGTGACGGCCTACAGCGAGACAATCGTGGCGGCGCCCAACTGCACGTGGCGCAGCTACCGCAGCCAGCTGACCCTGGAGCCGCGCCCGCGCGCCCTGCACTTCGGGAGCACCACCATCATCTTCCCCAAGCACGCCCGCAGCTCCTTCCGCACCACCCTGCACTGCAGCCTGGGCCGGCCCTGCCGCCGCTTCACGTCCAGCGTGCAGCTGCAGCCGGGCCAGCACCCCGGGGCCCATGGCCTCGGGCCCTCCGCGCTCTGACGGGGCGACCAAGGACTGCAGACTCCAGGGCTGAGCCTGGATCCGGGCAGGAGGAGGGTGGGGAGGCCCAGGGCCCAGCCCGCTGCCCCGCCAGTGCGGCCTGGTGGACCCCGTACACGGATCAGTTCTATTAGCCCCTAAAGCACAAGGCGCAGGGTGTGAGTCCGCAGCCAGGCGGTGGCCACCCCCAGGGGCAGGCCGAGGAGTCTTGGCCGGGGGACGGGCTGCAGCTCCGCCAGGCCCTGGCCCCACTGTCTGTCCAGGCTGGGGGAGGAGGGACACTGTCCGGCTTTCCAGGCGCGTGCAGCTTGGCGCCGAGGGGCTGGGGCTGGGCAAGCCCTGGCGTACACGGAGCCGGGAGGTCGGGCCAAGGCCAGAAGGACTCTGCTGCGGGGGCGGGGGAAGGGGGGCGGCCCGGAACAGACCTCGTCCGAGCTGCTCCGGTGCCCTCCCGTGTGGAAGACGGGGGCACAGCCCTCCCAGCGGAGGCCTTTGCGTTCCGTGTCCCGCGCCTTACCTGCGAGGCGTCCCCCCAACCTCCTCACGCGCCGCCTGCGGAGCCGGGACTCTCTGACCTCACAGACTTCGTGCCAGGGGCCCAGGGAGGCGTCTGAGGCCCCGGAAGCATCCGCTGTCTCCTGCCTGAGGTTCCGGCCCCGCCAGTCGGCTTAAAGACAGACCTGGGAGGAAGGGACGGTCACCCACCACCAAACGGGATAGCTCCATGCCTGCAGTGAACCAGGCGTCCCTGGCGTGTGGCGGGCCAGGGGAGGGAGACGGGACATGCCCGCTCCCCGGGACACCAGGTCCCCAGGGCCCGGTCCTTCCGGGGACAGCTCCAGAAGCGCCCTAGCTGCGTGCTGAAACGCTCCCAGGCCTGAACTGACCGCGGGCTGGGGGCTGCCCCGCCGGTGGCCCCGCCCCCGAGGCGGGTCGGAGGCTGGGGCGTCAGCGCCCTCGTGTGGTGCGGGGTGGGGGCGCTCGGCGCTCACGTCCGGGGGAGGCTAAAGGAATGGTGATCTTTTTATGTATCGACCCAGGCGGTGCGCTCTCTCCGGAGATGCTTTCTGATTAACAAAGAAATAACTTAAGAATCGACTGGTTGTCTTAATAAAATGCATAAGTTCGGTGTGTCAGACCCTCAGTGGCACGGGGGCGGGGAGAGGCGAGTTCGGCCTTTGTAGGCCCGCGGTCCCTCCGCGTGGCTGCTGGGCTCGGAGCCTCGTGCTCCGGCCCCCACAGAACAGCCTCGCCGCACACCCCGCCCCATGCAGGGGAGGGGCCAGTTAACAGGTGCGGAGGCTGGGGCCCACCCCAGGGCACAGTTCTGGGGGCCCTTCCCGGGAGGGCCCGGGGTGTGCGTGCAGTCGGGGAGACCGGGGCCGTGTGGCAGCGCCCCTGAGTCAGGCACGTGGGGTGGCGTTTGACCCAGAGGCTTTTGCCGGAGCAAAGCATCCCCTCGAGGAGGCGGGTCCCCGCAGTGCCACAGGTGGGGGCAGTTGTGGCGCCCTGACGCCGGAACCTTTGCCATGCGGCAAGTGAGGTGATGGCAGGGATAAGGGGCGCCCGCTCCGGGGGCTGTCCGGCACCCCGCGGTCGACCCTGGGGGCCTTGCCTGCTGTGTCTCCTTGCGCAGGGGCGGGGCAAGGCCCAGACAGGCTGAGGAGCGGAGACCCCGCCCCTAGGGCGTGAGCCCGTGGCTACACAAAAGGCACGTGGCTTTATATCCTGCAGCACCTGCAAAATGGGCCCGTGGCCCGACCTCCCGGGCTGCTGGGGCGGTAGGAATCCACGCCGGTGCAGCCCCTGGCGCTGCGGAACCCAGCCAGACCCTTCGCGGGGGCGGGGGCAGGGGCGGGGCGAGCAGCCACCTCTCCTGCCCTCTGAGGCACAAAGGCCGCTGTGGCCCCAGACACCTGTCACAGCCCCCTGGCTGTCACCCCGGGACACACTCACGGGACTCAAATCTAACCCAGCAGCCTGGCTGTCACCCTGCCCCCACAAAAGCAGGTGCCCACAGCCCCTGGCCTCGTGGGGTCCCATCTTCAGGAAGAAGACCCGCAGCCCTGGCGGCGGACCAAGGAGGGCGCTTGCTGCAGGCCGACAGCCTGGCTGGCCGTCCACACTTCCCGAGTTTGCCCTTCACCTCGACCCTGGGAGGTGGCTGCTAAGAAGTGCTGACAAGCGGGCCTGGCCTACCTCCAAGGCCGCAGGGGGTCAGCCCGCCCGGCTGCCTCCGCTGGCTCGCGGAGAGCGGCTAGACGCCCGCCCACCAGCTGCCTGCGGTTAACTCCCAAATTATGCAAATAAGGTTCTGAGGTGCTGGAACACCTGGCGTTTTTCCTCCCCTCCCTCTCCTTTCCTACCAAGCCCACTTGTCTTTGTTTCTGGCCTTGCCCCGCCCCCGCCACACACGGGGCGGGGGGGGGGGGACAGTCCCTGCACGGAAGATTGAGGCAGTGGGCGCCTCCTGCTAGGCCGCTGTCCCCGTGTCGCAGAGGGGAACCTGTCACCGGGCCTGTTGCTCCCTCACTGTCCACCCCGCACCCATGCAGGCCGAGGCCACCGATCTCACCAAACCTGCAGAAAGGCCTGGGCCCCGCGCTGAGCCGGCGCCCGCACCGGCTGACTCGGCTGAGCCCTTCCTTCCTCCAGGCACTGCCCGCTCCAGGAGGCCCCGCTGAGCGCTCGGGTCCCCTCACCCGGCCCCAGGTAGGCTCGCCCTGCGCCGGCCCCGGAGCCAGGAGGACCAGCCGCGCCTGCCCCACTGTGGGAGGCGGCTCTCCACGGGCCCGTGGCCCGGGCCGCGGCCTACGGAGACCTGGCCAGACAGGCAGGAAGGGGCCAGGTTTGAGCAAGCGTGCCGCCCAGACCTTGGGCTCCTCACCCCCCGCCCCCCTAGTCAGGCTGCAAACCACCTGCATCAGGAACACCTGGGCTGCAAACCACCTGCGAGGAAACCCAGACTGCTCATTGCAAACAGGTTTCCAGGCCCGCCCCGGACCTAGAGAGCCACCCGTATCCCCACGCCCCGGGTGGCACAGGAGCCCACATTTTAACCGATTTCCCAATGTCCTAAGGCACGGGGACACTTGCCAACAGCTGTCATTCACTTGACAAATCACATTCTCATTGCCTTTTTTTTCATAAAGGTTTTATTTATTTTTAGAGAGGAAAGGGAGGGAGAAAGAAAGGGAAACATCCATGTGTGGTTGCCTCTCGTGCGCCCCCTACTGGGGACCCAGCACGTGGCCACACTGGGAATCAAACCGGAGACTCTGGTTCACAGGCCAGCGCTCTGCTGTGGAGCCCCTCCAGCCAGGGCTCCCTCTGCTTTCCTCCTGACCCTCACAGTATCGGTTCAGGTCAACGGCCCCCGGGGGCTCGGGGTCAGGAGGAGGAGGACTCAGCCTCTGCGTGCAGGGGCTCTGTGGGTCCGAGTCAGGGGGCTGCCGAGCGTCAGCCGAGACCCAGGGAAAAGGGGGTTGGGGAGGGAGGGGGGTTTTGAGCTGCGTGCTCCCCAGGAAGATGGGGCCAGGGTGAACGATCCCAGCCTCCGTGTGAAAGGCGGGGCCGGGAGAAAACCAGACAAAATGGGGCGGGAGGAACCCTCTGGGGGTGGGGGGCTGGCTGGGCGTGGGTGCAGACCAACAGACTGGGTGGGCCCTCGGAGGGCACAGGAGGTCCTGAGCTCTCCCTACGCCCTGAAAGCACCCGCATGTCGGGTCTGGGTCCCTGGCCCTGACGGGGGGGGCCCCACTCTGTGGCCAGGGAGACGGGGTGGGGGCAGAAATGCCCATGATCCTGAGATGCACGCCCCACCCCAGACATGCCACGTCACTCTGGTCTGACCACGCAAGACTGAGGAGGGGCCCCAGATGGCACCGGCGTGCATGGCCAACACCTGGCGGCTGGTGCGGACAGCGCCGCCGGGCCCTCCCTGGGTTCCAGGTGGAGACACTTGAGCCCTGAGTGGGAGCTGGGCCCAGGACCGGCTCCTCTGCTGGCCCAACAGTGCCACCTGCCTGTCAACCTCAGTACTGCAGCCCGGGCGTCAGGCTGAGCCCTGTGGGTGGCCCTTGAGGCCAGGCACAGGGAACAGACAAGCAGACAGGGCTGAGGGCACTCGGAGCGTCCCCAAGGTCACACAGAATGTCAAGCCGCGTGGCTCCAAAGCCTGCTCACTCCACCTCTCGGGCCAAGTCCCTGCTGCAGACTGCTCCCCTCCCCCCTCCCTCGGACCTCCCAGGTGCAAGCCTGGAGGCCAGGCAGTGGCTGGCGGTGATTTTTCAAAAAAAAATTTTGCTTTATTTCTAGAGGGAAAAAGAGAAAGAGAGAGAGAAACAGAGACCGGTTGCTCTTGCCCGCCCCCAGCCAGGGACCCGGCCTGCGCCCCGGGCATGTGCACGATTGCGCCCACACCCTGAGCCGCACGAGTCGGGGTGGGCGACAGCGGTTCTCTCCCCCCTCCAGTGCACCCTGGTTCCCCGCTGCGCCCCAGGCCCTGCAGAGCTGCTGAACGCAAGGCCGAAGTCCGACATCCCGCTGAGGCCCCCGTGCAGCCCTGGAAGGCCGGTCCCAAGCCGAAGGAACAGGGTCCCCTCTGCCGGACCTGCTGGCCCGTTCACAAGCCCGCCAGCCCTGCGCTGGGTGTCTGGGGCTGTTTGCCCCTGGGTGGGCTGAGACGCCAGCACCCCCGGGGCTTCCTGAGCCAAGAGGCGGAGGGACAGGGACAGAGCGGACCCCGGGACCACAGGACCCTGGGCTTAGCATGACTTGAGCCAGAAGAACCCCTGCCTTGCAGGCTGCCCTGTGGGGTTCACCCTTGCAGTCCCTGACACCCTCACTTCTCGGCTCCTACAGGCTCCAAGACCCCTGCAGGACTCGGCCCGAGGTGCCGCGTCTCCTGGCCGCCTGTCCACAGGGGCCCTGCCCTCCACAACGCAGGGCTGACCTTTGCTGGGAGATGGGTGTCAGAGGTCACAGACGCCCTGGGGGCTGTGGGGTGGCTGAGAGGTGGCTCTGGGGTGGGGCGGCCTTCCTCCCTCTGGGTAAACAGGTAGCCAGCGGGCCCACAGCACATGCCCCCTGCGGCCCCACCCCAGCGCCTTCCCCACCAGCCTCCAGCACCCTGGGTGGTCGGGCGTGGGGCAGGGGGAGTACAGGTGGGCAGCGGGGTCTCCCACCGGCCTTCCAGAGTCTGGCACCCAATCTGGCAGCGGAGTGAAGTTTACCCACGGGACTCGGGACCGGTGGGCGCCAAGCTGTAGGCGAGGTGGAGACAGGCTGGGCAGGCAAGACGGGGAAGGCTCTAGAGGCGGCAGCGCCCCCCACAGGCAAAGAGGGACACGGGTCCTCATTAGAGTCGCAGCCCAATCCCAGGTCCCCGAGGGCGCGCAGTGGGCGGGGCCAGGGCTGCTTCAGACACAGGCTGTTTAGTCCACAGGACCGCCCAAGCGGTTCTCTCTTCTGGCTCGTCGTCAAAGGCAGTGGTGACGGCTTGTCACCTGATAATGACACGCGGGACGCCCTCATGGGGACACGCTGTGGGATAAAGACTCACCTGCAAAGCGGTCCTGTCCGCTGCGGCAGTGGGATGCTCCCTTGCCCCGCCCCCAGCTCCGCCCCCCGACGCCGGCCCCGCCCCCGGCGACGCCCACCCTCCCGGTGTCCGGTCCCAGACGGAGAGGCAGCCTCTGTGACCGAGTATAATTCGCTTTTTAATGAGAACGTGTGTAAATGACAGAACGCCACCGCCGGGCACAGATGACGGTCACAGAACACCCATCAAATGCATCCTGCCCCAGGGAGGGAAGGGGGGCGGGCGAGCGGGGCGGTGAGCCCGCGGGCGGGGCCGCCAACCGGGGGCCTGCCGGCTCCCGTGCACGGTAAGCGATCGAAAGCGCAGCAGCAATAATACTGGGTGAGTCCTTCCTTGCGTAAAACATCTGAATTAATTAATTGAAGGTATCAAAAATATACCCTGTAAACCAATACACCATCTACACCGGCCCTTCTTCCCACCGCCGTGGTGACGATGTGCGAGTCCAGTTCCTCCAGCCGCCCCCCGCCCCCGGGGGCCGCCCCCTGGCCCTCTC